GAAGTGGAACCGTGATAATGCAGAATGTAAGCTTGACACGTTAACCTCTAGGCGGCATTACTAGGAATGCCTTTGGATCACAGGGCAGAAGTGAATTTAAAGGAAGGCCAGGTGTTTTGCCATATAACATTCTTTGGTGGGATTGTCGATGAAGTAAACGTATATTTGCTATAACAACCGACTACGTTACTTATTTTTCGTATGTGAGTAGAGTTTCGACACTACCAGTAAAACAGTAATATAAGATTTATTCACCCTATTTCGTTTAAGGTGATGAAAGACTGGCAAAACAAGAAGAAAAATCTGCGTAAGAACAAAAAAAATCAAAGGATTTGCAGGAAAATGACTACCAAAAGGATTGAGAATAGCGGAGCACATTACACAGACTGGACGCAATATCAATTGGAAGGCAACAGAAATAAGGGTTTCATACGGTGAAAACACAAGAAGACGGAAGATTAGAGAGAGGCCAATGATATCCCTGCGGAAATAAATTTAATTATAGACCAAATTTGCATAATAGAACTAAGCGCGTCCTTCTAAGGACATCCCAGGAGTTAGTTAATATTAGGACCAAATAAAACATTATAAAATAACAGAAGTGTGTTGACTTCGTTGTCACAACTTGGTCTTGTTGACCGGCAGACTTAGTATAACTCACCTAGTCCGAAGTCCTCTACCATAGTAGTTATCATAATTCCCAGAATCAGACAGTGGACTTGGCACATTCTCAAATATTTCGCCGGCATCGTAGTCGGCATCATCAGCGAGTGCTGCAATTCTCGTATCAAGCTACGAAGAGACAAGTGAAGTCAATCCCTCGACAAACGTTCTGTCGAAAACGGTTACACTATCACTCCTCTTTCTGTACTGGCCTATCTATACACCAGAAAGATAAGAATAAATTATACGGGCCTATAAGGTAAATTCGGATAGGGAATCCAAGTAAAAACAACAAATCGAGAAAGAGGGAGGGCAAATTAAACAGTAGGTGTGATGACGCCATACTAAATGCGCCAAAAAGACACATCTATAGAAATGCCGAATATAGACAGGTCAGAAGTTGTGATACGGAGATAAGAGGGTAGGGAGTAGATAGATGTGTCCGGACAGAAATAGAAAAAATAACACAACCGTTCGACAGAAAGTATGTCAAGGGATTGACCTCACTTGTCTATCTGATGAGGTGAAGCTTGGTGCTGAAAGTGGCAAGACTCGCTAATTATGCCAACGAAATGTCTGGAAATGTATCAAGTCCATGGTCAACGCTAAGAACTATGATAATCACTATGGCAGAAGACTTCGGACAAGGTGAGTCCAGCTAGGTAGCCCTGATGACACAACCAAGTTACGAAAACAAAGCCAGGCAAATTATTTATAACTAAAGCAGACTGCGCCTAACAGAGGCCACAACATCTTGATCCTCATACCTATAGTGTAATCCAGATTATTTGAATATGGCCTCACGCTTCTTCTAGAAAAAAGAAAAAGTTCCACAAATCTGTATTCTTTTGAAAGCTAACAGTAAATGGCTTATAAAAGGATGTATAACCAAATTTTTGAGCTCACTTTTACTTAGTGTGAAAGTGTGCTGTTAGGAAATTCGAGTCGATCAAACCAGAAGACAATGACAGATATCTCTTGACCAGGCTTTACTGGACCATTCTTGTAGACGCTGTTTCCTAGACAATCTTCGATATGCAGAAAAACTGGGTTCCAACAACAAACTCCATTAGTTTGGTTTCCTTCACCTCTAAATCGCAGAGACACAGGGGCCCAAAGAATGAGAGCGAACGGGGTGGGGATAACTGGGTGAAGGGCCTGAAGCCCAGGAAGTGGAAGATGCCGAGGCATGGGTATCACCGGCCCTAAATCCGCAAATATGACGTAAACGGAGACGGGAATTGAACGTTCATATGCAGCAGATTTCAGACAGCCATACAGTGATTGTGATGTGTAGCAGCGACCGAATGGCAAGCGGAATGGATGGAAAAGTTGAGTGAAAGTCACAAGCCCTGCAAACGGCATCTGGAACCGGCGGTGAGGATGATCGTGCCTCACTAAACCCACTTGTAGCGATATAGCCTTAGGCAACATTGGAGGAAACGAGAGCACAGAATTGTGCGACTGGATAAATAGGCAATATGAATTGGGGTCGAGAAAAAGCGATGCAGCGCTAAAAATAAGGATAAAAATAGGGGCGAGGACTGATACCACAACGGTTGAATAGACAAGTGGTCAAGTGGATTGCCTTCACTCGTCCCTTTAATAAGATGTAACTCTGCGTCAACGATGGTGGCGAAATGTCTGGTAATGTACCAAGTCAACGGTCAGATGCTAAAAATCATCATAAATACTATGGCAGAGGACACAGAAGTGGGTACATTCCACAAGGTCTCCCAGTCACTACTATCAAGTTGCGAAAACGAGTAAACTTAACATTACTAAGCCAAATGACCGGAGATATGAATACCAAGATGTTGTGGCCTCTAGTATGGTCTCACTTAGACTTGGTCATATGGTACGGTACTTGGATGATTACTTCGCACTTTGGTCACATGGAAGAGAAAAACTGGAAGATTTTCTGAAATTTGCAAATCAAATTAATGAAAAAATTCAATTTACGATGGAAGTAGAGGTAGGTGAACGGTTACCGTTCCTGGAAGTTAAAGTGATTCGTTCTGATGGGACGCTCAAAAAGAAATTGTTCAGAAAGAAGTCCTATGCTGGGATAATACTCAATTTCTAGTCCCATCCCAAATACAGGCTTAAGATTGTTATGAGGAGCATGATCACCCGAAGCCTACGCTTAACGGATGTAGAAATCTGGGACGAGGAGCTGGACAAATTGACGGGGATATTCCTCGGCAATGGCTACCCTAGCGTAGTAATACAAATAAACATACAGGCCGTGAAAAGCCGATGGCGGAACGGGGACTATGAAAGGACAGAAAGGACGATGAAGGATTCACAAAAGTGGATATGCCTACCTTCCTGCGAACTAACCCAAAAACTACGGTCAATATTGAGCAAATGGAATATTCAGGTGGTCATGTAAGAGAAATCAACAATTTTCACAAGTCTACCAACGCAGCATGAAAGAGTAGACAAATTGGATTGTTCAGGGGTTTACTGTATATCATGCGGAGCCTGCGATCAAAAATATATTGGTGAAACAGGGAGAAAAATTAGCACACGAATCAAGGAACATCAGGGGCTCTGCAGGAAAATTGATACCGAAAGATGAGAACTAGCGGAACACATCGCGCAGACTGGACACGAGATCAATTGGAAGGCAACAGAAAGAAGAGCTCCATATGGGGACAACATAAGGAAGTGCAAGATTAGGGAGGCCGTTGACATCCTTAGGGAGAACAATTTGATGAACAGGAGATTGGAGGAAGGTAGAGTTAGTGATAACTTTGCCTACTGCCAAAGCAAACTCGGGGAAAGCAAGAATGGAGCAAAACCAGCGTAAAGGAGACGCCTGGATCAATGATCTACCCCTAACAGGAGGAAAAGTGATCACGAGGAATAAACTGGGGGGAAGGGGTTTTCGGCAATAAAGTAAAGACGTCAGTGAGTGATGTCCATTTCGAATAAACCAGTACAACTTTGGGGGCCTGGCAGTCAGGGAGCTGGGCAGACGGATAGCAAACCGTCACGGAAATTCGACGTTATGCCCAAAATACACTAGAAATCAACTTGAGATGCCGCATGCGGCCAGAGATAGGCGTCCACAGTTTGCTCAGATAACATGGGTTTAATCAAGGAACTCTGCTCAGTGAGACGGCAGTCTGCGTGCTTCTAGGGCCTTGAGAAATAG